TTTTTTTCTCTGCTGTTAACACTGAGAGCTTTGGCTTTAATAACTGTAAAGGCCTGGTGAGAATTTATCGAAAAGAAACTTATGTTCGCCAATTTACCTTCTGCAATTTTCAATGGGAATTTTCTCAAACTTATTTATATGTTTTCGCTGTTTGTCTGCAGCAAGCCGCCAACCTTAAAGTTTCCATTACCATCATTCTGCTTTTACAGGAGAAGTGGTAACTGAAGAGCTTGCGTAATCTACCGTTACAATTAATTGTAACTTTAAAAGAATACGCTCCCTGATAAGTCACCTATAAACCGTGGAATATTATTCGGATAGATTTGAAGACTAAGGCGAGAAAGCTGTCAGCTTTCAGGCTTTCGATGTGTTGTCAATCATTCTTACTGACGCTAAGTGATTATTTATTTAACGCAACGTTTACCAGGTGCAAATTTAAAGATAGTAAAAACAGCAAGATTTCTTGGATCCATGAAATTTCGAGAGAGGTCTTCAGTTGCTGCCTCTCATTGCGTTATAATAATAACCAATGAGTAAATACAAAATTGCATTGGTACAGAAAGGTCAGAAAGCTCATAGGGCACGGCCACTAAGGCTAATTAGTAAGGTAAGTGAATTAAAACAATATGGAAGGAAAACAGGGAAAAGGCGAAAAGGTGGGCACGGGACTGCATAAATCAGGGAGCCGGATGTTACCAAGAAAAAGCTAGGTTGACCACATGCTGCAACTGTTTACGTAGGTCTGGTTTTAACCGCTGTATATAGGCTGCTCCAGGCAGCGCAGGGTACGAGTTGTTCGTACCCGAACGAGTATTCGGAAAGAAGTTTTAGGGTCCACAGGATGACCCGTATCAAGTAAGTGTTCTGTAATGGAAGACCGAGGTGTTCTATTTTCCTTTTTGAATAGCCACCTAAGCAAGCGCTCCTTGGCTCTGGTTGCCAGTTGCCTTTGCGTTGGCCCTATGTACTTGCATCAACAAGTAAATGTAAATTCATAAACACAATTGAAAGTGGCGGGCAGTGATAAGGTGTCCTCAGCACAAGGAGTTGGTAAGGACTTATTTGCAGAGCACAAGACGAGTTCAGCAGCTTAATATGTTCTTTCGATTGCGTTAAAAAGGTGTCTCTATTTATTTAATATATAGGTAAAAATAATTTGACTTAAGTTTTGTATTTTGTCACCTTAAAGTTTCACAGAATTAGACTATTAATGGGTGCCCTTCTTCTGCCACATGACCCACTTTTCCGCCATTTTCGTTCGCTTGGATGATAAACAGCGTTTACTTAAGAAACGTCTTTGAAGAGGGGAAAACTGCTGGAAAAAAATGGATTAAATGACACCATTATGCGTATTTGCGCACTGAAACGGCGCAGAACAGGCCTTAAACCCGCACTGGATGCTGGTCAAAACGTTAAGTGTGGCATGAGCCCAACGCCCTCACCGAAGTCCCAATTATGTGAGACACTGGGCCGAAGAGAGGGCCACAGGAAAGTGCATACCTTAAGCAAAGACTGGTTGCGATGCTAAAGCTCGGCCGACACTATGTCCTCCTCGGGATACAAAATTTAATTGCCAGCCTAAGTGGCGCCTCCCAAAAAAACGCTTACCTACGTCTTTAATTGCTTCACTGATTCCGCAAAATTTATGAGGTCACTACACTCTTCAGCTGACCAAATTATTGCACAAAAATTGCCGGTCCTGTCCCGAAGACTTTACTCTACGTCTGTTCAAAAATTTCGAACTAAAAGTATAAGACACCGCAACGCTCAAGCCTGAATATTCTGCTCTTGTGCCTTCGCGAAAATGTACCTAAATCGGTTTCAGAAAAAACGGCTTCCAAGCAGACCATTCACACTTTTAACAGCGATGAAGATAATCCTTAAGGACTTTCTTTTAGGGATTCAAGATATCACATTAAGTTGCGATCGACATTTATCTACTCTGCCATTTCGACATTTGTAATTGACAAGAATTGACTAACAGCACTTAATTTCGTATTATTTTCTTCGGATAGATGTTTGAACTGCTTCTTTTAGCAATTAGCGTGTAGTGACTACTACAGACCTGGGGCCTGCTGACCCATTATTCGCACGGAATTTCTATTCAAGATTTTAAGACAGAATTCCGGATTTTAATATTACTTTGGCCCGGAATGTTTAAAGCCCACGCAGACAGTGGTAAAGAGAAAGATACGCTTTACTTTGAAAATATCATTCCACCATTTTCAGTAGAAACGTCCCCATTGAAAAGGAATAAAATCAGGCACACGAACTCGCAGCACCGGGAAATCAAAAGCGATCCGTAATTGCCAATGACTGCAATTGTCAATATCGTTGATAAATGTCCTTGGAAAAGTCGTCAAATATGGGCCAAATTGGACTGCTTTCAAAGCTGCGCTAGCGTTGTGACCTCATTTTAGTTCAAATAAACAAAGAGGGATAAAAATAGGTTTATAATTAGTCTGGACCGCCTACGGGATTGCATGTCGCTCTCCCCGTGCTAATTTTTGTTTAGAAGTGGGGACGGAAAACGAAGATTAGCTAAGGTTGTACTGACTATGGAGACAAACACTTAAGCCTGGTTGGACATGGATACTGGGGTGTGACTGCTGTGTTGAGTATGCTGTCGTGGAACTACGCATGAGAGCGAAAGAGGAAGCGGAGAAGTATGTACTATGTCAATCGCTGCGTTTGGGTGTGACCACCAAGTTATCTCGATGGTCTTACTCGACACATCCGGTCTAGATGGTCTTGGGTGCGGTAACTTTCTTCTCTTACTAACTTGCGGCAACTCCCTTAGTTTATTAAGCAACCCGCATAGAACCCGCCTAGATCATATATGAATGCCTGTATCTCTGGGATCTGCCCAAAAGTGAGTTTTATCCCGTTTCCTCAGGGTGTGGTCAGAACTTGGAACAGTGAGTCAGTCATGCGCACCACCAGTACTCGCTTATCTGTCGGCTGGGCCCTCATAAATATCCATCTGCACAGTTCCAAGGAGAGGTTATTCATTCTGGGTGATAGATCCTTCCCACGTTAAACGCTTGTAGCGCGTTCTGTTCCTCCACCCCTATCAGTATGTAAAGAAGGCGGAAAAACGTTCTCTGGGACCAGTATTTTATTTGCCCAAAGTTTCGGACTCTCACTCGAGCCCA